CAACTCTGTCCTCATTATGTAGGATAGTTAGCAGAGGGCAAGCCACACTCCTTTATCACAGCGTTAGATGCTGTGTTTTGTGAGTAAATGTCCAGCAGGTCAGTGAACCACTTTAACAAATACTGTGAAAATGTACGTAAGGCAAGTATGAGGTTAGAGTGCTAGGTAAATGATTGAGTAATTAGGGTAGATCAGGATGGGTGGAGGGAACAGCTAGGTGGGAGAATTAGATCCAAAAGGCAGGGGAAGAGCGGTGCGAGAGAATTGGATCCAACAGGCACAGGAGAAGACGGACTGGGTTAGGGGCATGCAAGGGGGCTGGAGGAGGTGCAATTGGTCAATGGTAAGTTGTGGAGTTAGTTTAATAGTTACCCAAGAATTAGACTAGGTTTTTAATTGTCTAACATTTCCTAACTATTATCTTAACTATAACAGAACCTTCCCAAATTCTCCAATTGAATGGATATACTAAGAGGATTCCAGATACAAGTGAATTGCCCGTCGGAATCTTCAATTCTCAGGTAATTCCCTGTGAGTCTGCAATGTTGGGAATTCCAGAGGTGCTGACTTTCAACTTCCATCTATGCTGCAGAAATGACTATTTGGTCATCATAAAACCTGGGCTGTTGTCTTGTCAAAGTGATCTGTTAGCCACAAGATATTTCCAACATTATTTAGGTTATCTCTAACACACAGGGTGCTTGCAGATTTAATTTCTTACAGATCTAAACGAGCTCTTAAATAAGTTAACACAACAGAAAACACAAACAATGCAGCGAGAAGCCACCTTCAGGAGTGTCAGGGATGTTCAAGTACTCTCTCCATTATCAGTAGTTGTGTAGTAGCATCTTGCATCATCCGATCTGTCATTCATCATGATGTGGTGCTCCACAAGATGGAAAGAAATTTCAACAACACTGACCTTCATATTCAAGAAGATGTGAAAAACTCAAGAAAGCAAATTTTAAAAAAATCACGCTGGCCATTCTGGTGAACAGCAGCTGGTATAAACGCAATATTAGAATGGACTGAATTGTGGGATGTATGCAGTCTAAGAAATAACGGCTCAGTGAGCCAGAGTTCCCTGGTTTTAACCTGTGTCAACCAAATCTGCACAGCGCAGACAATTTGCTATTTTTTTAAACAATTCATTCTTTCACAGGTAAGGGCAAATAGGCCAATATTGCCCAACTGCCCTGGAGAAGATGGCAGTTCACCTTCTTGAACTGCTTCAATCCATGTAATGTAAACATAACCAAGACGCTGTTAGGGAGGGTGATCCAGGATGTTAAGCCAACGAGAGTAAAGGGATGGTTATAGAGTACCATGTCAGGATGGTGCATAATTTGGAGAACTTGTCAGTGTGATGTTCCCAAGCATTTGTTACTTTGACCCTCTTAGTTGGCAGGTGCCACATGTTTGGAAGATGCCACTGAAGAAGGCTTGATGCATTGCTGCACCACAAGAAGAAATTAAAGGATAAGCTGAAGTGCAATGTGGCCATGCATGCAAGACGCTGGAAGATATTATATAGGAGGTTGAGGGGCAACCTTATAGAAGTTTATAAAATAATGACGAATATAAATAGAGTTAATGGTAGTTGTCTTTTCTCTAGGATGGGGGATTTCAAGACTAAGGGGCACATTTTTAAGATGAGAGGAGAGAGATTTATAAAAAAAGACGTGGGGGCAAATTTTTTACACAGAGCATGGAATTAACTTTCTATGGATGTGGGTACAATTATGTTTAAAATACAATTATGTTTAAAAAACATTTAGATAAGTACATGAACAGGAAGGGTTTGGAGAAATATGAGCCAGGAGCAGGCAGATGGGACTAGTTTAGATTGGGATTATGTTTGGCGTGGACTGGTTAGACCAAAGGGTCTGTTTCCATGCTGCATGACTCTGTGAACCAGCCCATTGAGATCTGTTTGCAGGGCACATTTCATTTCACCACTTGGCATTTCTGGAAACAAACAAATGGACAAACTAGGCATCCATAATTGGTTTTCTATCATATGAAAGTAGTAGCAATACTAAAACACCACATACACCTGTCCCTGGAGGTTTGTGTTTACCAAGCAGGCCATGTCACAGCTGTATGCCATTTGTTCAGGCACAATCACACATAAATTGAGAAGATTCTTGTGATGCACTCATAGCTCTGAGCCAGGAGGTCTAGGTTCAAGTCCCACCTGTTTTGGAGGTGTGTAATAACATTTCTGAACTTAATTAGAAAATATCTGGTATATAAACTCCCATTAAAATAATGGGCAGTGTTAATATCTCTTTCTTAGCAATGCATAATTACTGAAGCAATGTCAGGTAGGGGCAAATCAGAGGTTAAATATGGAATCTAATTATTACTGACTGAAATGATCTACATTTAGTCCCCTTACTAATTGTGTTATCAGTGTGAAGTGTGCTGTATTTACAACAACACATACAGACTAAACTCACCAGTAAGTAATGACCTGCTCACTTGCCTAAGTACCTTCTAATCAATGTGATAAATATTAATTGCTGACAGTCAACTTCCCTGATACTGCAAATGAATTAATACAATTGCAGAGTCTTATTCCTTCAGAGTTCAATTGTCAGAGATTTTAAAAAATGTAAAGTTTTTACACAGTTACCTTTCTTTTGTCCTTGCATAAATACAAGTTTTCTTGCTCACTCTATTTCCCTTTCTGTACCCTAATTTGATACTAATTTCAAATTCACCTTCTTTCTCAGTCCTTAGGCTGTTTATTGACAATCATTCAATCTGAATTGTTTTATTCATTCCCAGGATGTGGACATTGCTTGCTTGATCAGCATTTAGTTCTCACCTAATTGCCCAGAAGGCACTTAAGAGTCAACCACATTGCTGTGGGACTGAAATTATGTAGGTTAGACCAGGTAAGAATGACAGATTTCCTTCCTTAAAGTACATAAGTGAATCAGATGGGTTTTTACAACATCAATGATGATTACATGGTGGCCATTAGGCCAGCTCTTGATTCCAGATGTTATTGAATTCAAATTTCACCATTTGACCTCGAGGGATTCAAATCCATATTACCTGGATATTGGCTTGTCTTTAGTATTACTTGTCTTCAGTAATACTACAATTATGCAGTCTGCTACCCCGATACAAGGACTGTTTGTGCTATCCATGCATATCCCAGGTCCTGTTTCCATCACTATCACTATCATTATTATCTTGAGCTTTCAACCTAACTAATGAAAGTAAATATGAAGAGCAAGTGTAAGTGATTGGCCATTGCGAGTCAAACACATTGCTGGACACTCATTTGGGGGACTTTGAAAGGCAAGCATTGACCATTGAAACGTAAGTTTACAGAAGGCTATGATCGCTTAGCTTTAATTTTACAATGCAGGAAAATATTCAAAATTAAACAAACCTTCCCACCTTTGAATACACAGAGGTGGTAACATTAGATCCATTAACACTGGAATCACAGGAAAAAGTGTTAAGAATAACAACCATCACAAAACATTTTTTTAAAAACTGACATTGCTGGTAGGCCTTGTCTTAGGTCTTATTTTTTAGTCGCAGCTGGTTGATGACATTTAATCAGATAACGCTCTTGTTTCAGGTTTGAGTGTTTACTAGGCTAAAGGCGCTTTATAAATGCAAAATCTTTGGGTGGGTAGACTATTTTCACCCTGGGACGTAGGGTGAATTTTATCAGTTTTGTTTGTGCGGTATCTATTAATTCATCGCCTTTCGGGGCAGATAAATAGATAGCTTCTTGATTATCAAGGGTTACGGGGAGAAACCAGGAGAATGGGGTTGAGGAACTTATCAGCCATGGTTGAATGGCGGAGCAGACTTGATGGGCGAAAAGGCCTAATTTCTGCTCCTATATCTTATCGTCTTAAGTTTATATATTAATCCTGTCACGGCAATAATTACTGGGGAGGAGGAGGAGACTGCACACAAAGGGTGAAAAACGCAGATCAAGCACTAACCTTTACCAGTTGGAGGCATTTTTCCTGTCTCTTTATATATTTATAGGAATACAACCAGAGTTCTCCTTTTGATTTAAAGTAGACAAGTTAGATCACTTTTCACTTTCTCACTGTAAACATTGCCTCAAAATGGCGGCCGCCAATTTGGTTTGAATTTCGGCGCCAACAAAGACCACGTGGTACACTGAGGGGGCGGGGCAATACGCGTGACGTAAACCCTGGACACGTGGGACATTGGAAGGGCGGGATGAAGGTGGGGAAGGGCATGTGATGACATCGGACCTATCAGGACAGGGGGCGTGGCCAAATATAAGGGGAGCGATTGCGCTCCTTTGTGTCACGTGATGCAATGGTGTGCACTTGTATTTCTTTCCCCCCTTCATGCTTGTGTTCCGTTGGCTTTGAACGTCATCAAAATCTGGGTTTTGATGGAAGTGGTTGTTATTTCTATAAACACGCCTATGAACAAAAAAAATGAGTAAAAGAAGCAACGTCTCGTACGTGAAGCCGGCCGAACCCGCCTTCCTCAAGAAATTTAAGGAAAATGTGGGTTACAAGTCTGGGCCGACAGTGGAAACCAAGGTCAGTCCGACCCCTTCAGTTCCTCCCTCCCACCCCACTCTCCAGCCTAGGCCAAACCTCACTCCTTGCGCCGATCTGGCCTGCTGCCCGTTAAAATACCCGTGTTAAGGTAGGAATAGAATCCATTTATAAGGAATGGTAAAAGAGTAGAGGGAATGGGATTGGCTGGAAAGCTTGGTTGAAGAGCTGTCACAGACACAATGGGCCGAGTGGTTTCTTCCTATATTGTTGTGCAGTGGTTCAAACTGCTTTTGTATCAGGGTTGCCCACCTCACTAAAT